ACGAAATGAGGGTCGATCGGCAAAACTGAAGTAAAATTGCGATTTGACTTGTCCCGGAGCAACCCTTTCGCACGAAATGAGGGTCGATCGGCAAAAACTGAGGTAAAATTGCGATTTGACTTGTCCTGGAGCAACCCTTTCGCACGAAATGAGGGTCGATCGGCAAAAACTGAGGTAAAATTGCGATTTGACTTGTCCGGAGCAACCCTTTCGCACGAAATGAGGGTCGATCGGCAAAAACTGAGGTAAAATTGCGATTTGACGATTGTGCCGGAGCAACCCTTTCGCACGAAATGAGGGTCGATCGGCAAAAACTGAGGTAAAATTGCGATTTTTCGTGTGCCGGAGCAACCCTTTCGCACGAAATGAGGGTCGATCGTCAAAAACTGAGGTAAAATTGCGATTTTACCTGTGCCGGAGCAACCCTTTCGCACGAAATGAGGGTCGATCGGCAAAAACTGAGGTAAAATTGCGATTTTTCGTGTGCTGGAGTAACTTTTTCGCACGCAAAGAGGTTTATGTGTACGAGCGTTTCTGTGTAGAGATGTTTGTGTGTAAAAGTGTTTGTGTGTACAAGTGCATCTGTGTAAAAGTGTTGTGTGTAAAACCTTCTGTGTGTAAAAGTCTTTGTGTGTAAACGGGTTTGTGTGTACGAGTGTTTCTGTGTAAAGATGTTGGTGTGTATAAGTGATTGTATGTAAAATTCCATCTGTTTAAACGTGATTGTGTGTAAAAGCTAAATTGCGATTTTTCGTGTGCCGGAGCAACCCTTTCGCACGAAATGATGGTCGATCGGCAAAAACTGAGGTAAAATTGCGATTTTTCGTGTGCTGGAGTAACTTTTTCGCACGCAAAGAGGTTTATGTGTACGAGCGTTTCTGTGTAGAGATGTTTGTGTGTAAAAGTGTTTGTGTGTACAAGTGCATCTGTGTAAAAGTGTTGTGTGTAAAACCTTCTGTGTGTAAAAGTCTTTGTGTGTAAACGGGTTTGTGTGTACGAGTGTTTCAGTGTAAAGATGTTGGTGTGTATAAGTGATTGTATGTAAAATTCCATCTGTTTAAACGTGATTGTGTGTAAAAGCTTCTGTGTGTAAAACGTGTTTGTGTGTAAACGTGTTTGTGTGTTGGAGTGTTTCGGTGTAAAGATGTTTGTGTGTAAAAGTGTTTGTGTGTACAAGTGCATCTGTGTAAAAGCAATTGTGTGTCAAAGCTTTTGTGTGTAAAAGTGTCTCTTTGTAAAAGGGTTTGTGTGTAAGAGTGTTTCTGTGTAAAGATGTTTGTGTGTAAAAGTGTTTGCGTGTAGAAGTGCATCTGTGTAGAAGTGTCTGTGTGTAAAAGCTTCTGTATGTAAAAGCTTCTGTGTGTAAAAGCTTCTGTATGTAAAAGCTTCTGTGTGTAAAAGCTTCTGTGGGTAAAAGCTTTGTGTGTAAAAGCGTCTGTGTAAAAGCGTCTGTGTGTAAAAGTGTTTGCGATGCAAACTATTGTCTTGCACTTCTCGCTATTTTGTCTTGATACTCCTCTTCTCGACTGCCTATAACACAGCTTTCATATATCGTTTCTAAAATTGCGTCTCCATACTAACGAGAGAAGACCCTGCTCCTCTACGCTCTCGGGCCATCCGTCGTCTAGTTTTTCTTATCTTGTCCTTATCTATCTTATCTAGTCTTATCTATCGATCTTATCTTGTCTTATCTATCTATCTTATCTTGATTTATCTTGTCTTATCTTGTCTTATCTTGTATTATTTTGTCTTATCTTGTCTTAAATTATCTCATTTTGTCTTATCTTGTCTTATCTTATCTTGTCTTATCTTGTCTTGTCTTATCTTGTCTTATCTTGTCTTATCTTGTCTTATCTTGTCTTATCTTGTCTTATCTTGTCTTATCTTGTCTTATCTTGTCTTATCTTGTCTTATCTTGTCTTATCTTGTCTTATCTTGTCTTATCTTGTCTTATCTTGTCTTATCTATCTATCTATCTATCGATCCATCCATCCATCTATCTCTATCTCTCTCTCTCTGTCTCTATCTACCTACCTACCTACCTATCCATCCATCCATCCATCTATCTATCTCCCTGTCTGTCTGTCTGTCTATCTATCTATCTATCTATCTATCTATCTCTGCATTTGAACGAGAAAACATGGGTTATTTGTGATGCAATGTTCCGGGTGAACAACAAGAAATATTAAAAGCAAATGTTTCGAACATGTTCTTACCAGCCAGAATCCACACCAGTGGCATCCAGTGGGTAACCAACATATATTTGCCATACCGAATTTATGTGAAATTATCATACAGGATGGGCCCCCACCAGTTATGAGTTGGTTTATCAACCCCATGAATACTATAGTTATATCATGTTATATCTACTATAAACCATAGAAATCAGCCACTAATATCTCAACTGAACGCGAACTCGACTGGGGTCCCCATCCTGTATTGACACACCCCTACAACATTTGTAGCAACTAACAGTAAGCTATGGAGGCCACGCTTGCTCACCCCCCGAATTCCCAGCTGAAAATGGGTTCTGACCATCCCCAACTAACTAGCTTGGTTAACAACTACCATTCTATAATCAATCAACAATCATCAATAAAAACTACATTCCCGTACTGTTGCTAGTTAAAAATATCTTTTATGTGGATAAAACAATGATAAACCATCACACAGCATCACCATTGAAAAATAGGTGGTATGGTTACCATTCCCAGTCATGGGTGATTTATGATTGTTTTACCCACATGAATCATCATTAGTCAACCATTAATCACCATTATTAACCAATATTAGCCAACTAAACCATGGATATTCCCATGAAATCACCATGAAATCACCATTTATCAACAATCATCTATCAATCATCAATAAAAACTATATTCCCATATTGTTGATGGTTAAGCCTCCAAAAAAAAAAGAAGTGAGGCCTAACCTTCATATATTCCCTATATTCCACAATCATCAATAAAAACTATATTCCCATTGTTGATGGTTATTGCCATGGATATTCCCATTTATGACCTATATTCCCTATAAAGATAAAGTTAGGCCTAACCTTCATCAACCAGATCCGACTTCTGTCCGATAGCCGAGGCTCGGATTTCCACCCAACTTCTCGACGAGCCACGTTGGACTCCTCCGCCCGGCGTCACAGATTTCTTCCAAGCGGCAGGGTCTATGTTAATTTACTGGAGGCTATCTATATGATATATATAAATAAATAACCAATTATATTATATGGTATACATAATGTGTATAGATATGTTATATGTATATATATATATTATATGGTATATATATATATATATACAGTTATATTATATACACATAATATAAAACCATAGGATGAACTATATATAACCATGGTGATGAAGCCCTTGTGATTCCTGCGATACCCCAAGCTGGTCCAACTTGAAAATAACGGAATTTGGACAGTTTTTTTTGCGGCCCAACAACTGGTTTTTGGTTGGGTTTATCAGTTGTTCATCAAATTTATTTGGTATCTAGCCAGTGGCAAAAGATGAAAAAACAATGGTATAATGAAATATAGCAGATAAATCCCAAATAGAAACTGGCTGGTGGTTCAACCCCTCTGAAAAATATGAGTCAATGGGAAGGATTATCCCCAATAATTATTGAAAAATAATCCAAATGTTCAAAACCACCAACCAGGAAATCTTGGACACCAATGTTTCGGAAAAAAATCAGCCGCCGCGTAGAGAACATCATGCTGCGGAGTCACGGAGTCCACACCGCAGCTGCTTAAAGTTGATGCCCCCCTCAACAATAATTGGCTGGTTGTTTCAACCTATGCTAAGAATACAGACACATTTATACAACTGAATTGGGATCATAATCTCAAGATGAACATGTATGTATATACATATAAGCACCACTCATATCTTTCTTGAATTGACGTCCTCTCCATCGTTTATGACTTCCCACCAACTAATTACTGCAAGGAGACCCACGTAATTACATTACCCTCTAGTACTCCGACTTTCCCCATATTCAAAGCTGATTTCCCTGCACTTTTCAGTAACAATGAGGGCGTTTCTAAATACACATCATTTAAGGGAGCATCTGAAAATAAAATGAATGATTTGGGGGCACCCCTATGACTCAGGAAACCTCCATTTCCATGGTTTTTCATTAGTTGCTACCTGGTAATCTAAAATAGCTGTGGAAAAGCACCCTCTTTCACAGGTAAAGCATCTATAAATGGCTGGTTTTCCATAGCTGCATTAAACTACCGGAGAGTAATATTTGCAAATGTCGCCTTGAACCAAGTCATTTGAGCAATGATCAAAACCTTCTGTTCTTCATTTACACTGGTTGATTTAATAGGTTTCCCAGTTCAATGGATTGTGACAATCACCAACATATTAGATAGCATAACCCCATATAATCAAAACAACAGTCAAGTATCAAGGATATCCAGTCATATCTCCATATTTTGATGGTTGGAATCGCTATTGAATGCTTATAATCATCAATCAACAGGGGTTTTGAACAATATATACATCTATATGATGATTGCCCTGTTATATCTACCATAAAGTATTCTCATGACATATCACCAATAAATTCCATGAAATCCCTATCGCTAATGGTTAATCAATAGGGCTTTAGCAGCCAACCAGCATTTATCAACCCCATATTCTTGATGGTTAAAACCACTATAAATCATGCTTAAACCCTCAACGATTACAACCGTCAATCAACAGGGCTTTAGCAGCCACTGCTCATCTTTATCATTTCATCCCAATACTCATTGGTCAAGTCCTGATTTCTAGTTAAATATAATGCCCTGTGATATTCCCACTTATTAGCTGTTTTAAATGCCAAAAAACGACTGCTCAATTCTCGCTTTCGGCAGGGTCTCAGTCAATATAATACTGGTTGGTGGTTTCAACCCCTCTGAAAAATATTACTGTTTATTGCTGTTTATGTAAGGGCCAAGAGGCAGAAATCGGCCCCAAGACCCAGCTGCTCCGCGATCAATCGAGTCTGGCCGGCACCAAGCTACTCACATCTTGATGTGTGGCTGCCTGGCGACCCAATAGTGTGAGAACGTGCTGATCTATCTCATCGATTTTGGTCTGAGGAAGCCTAACTCGAAAACACACCAGCCATTTAGCCAGTGATGCAGATTTGGGCTTCGCAAGGCGTTGTGGCAAGGTCATCCCATTGTGCTTGAGGTAGCACTTGAACAGAGAAATGAACAGTTTGCACCGCTCACCCCACCTTGTTCGAGATTTCACTGGAACCTCTTGTTCAGTCGCATACCAACGTTTCTTACAACACCAAGGACCGCCATATCCAGTGTAGAGGTTGAATGCATAGAACAATTGGATACCAGCAACATAGACCAGTGGCGCACTGCCTTGTACCATCTCAACACCTTGGGCTGTCCACCAGCTGTGAATCTTCTGGAGGTTCACCTGCCCATACCGGCGGATCAGCTTCGTCGGAATACTCCATTGTGTCGGCGGAGGAGGCAAAGGAGCCTCGATCACTTCTGCCACCGGAGATGCCGGAGGTTTCTGAACTTTGGCAGCCAGCTTCGAAGTTTGTAGCAACACCTTCAAGATCGCATCATGCAACTGTCGATGAAAGGTCTGTGCAGCTCGCAGCCCTTCCCACGCTGACCAGAAAACAGAGGACCTGCGGTTATTGATGGCCTCTGCAGCCCGGTCGGTGAGACTGTTGTGCCAATAAGCCCAATGCTCCAACGGCCCCGTGGCTTTGTCAATGTCACCATGGGAAACCACCTTCCGCACCTCGATCAAGTGCCCACCACAGACGATCGCAGCCTGGAGCTGCTGCCAGAGGTCAGAGTGGGGCCTGTTCTTTTTCAACGGACGCCCATGCAGAAGCTTCACCAAACCTTTGATAACACCCTGGCAGTCACACCATAGTCGCACCTGCTGGTGCCTCGCCACAGCCCATTGTACTGCTCTGACGACTGCTGTGAGTTCGGCCCGAAACGCTGATTGGCACAGGCCCATGACGTGACCTCCGAACAAGAGTTGGTTATCCAGTGATCCTGCTGCACCCACCACCAATGTAACAGCCCATGCCGCATACCGCAGGCGTGCTTCATGAGGGTAGGCACAGGTGCCATCCAAAAACAACTCAAGCCGTGTATGGAAACCATTATTGGGGGGACAAACTGGTGACATCTGAGAAAATCCATCATCCCGAAGCAACATACCCGCCACAACCTCCCATTCCGGCAGAAGCAAAGGCCACCCATGATCAACCAAGCACGGAGGTAAAACCTCAAGGGCAGCCCACTGAGCTGGTGTCACATGAAGACGGCAGGAGGCAAAGTGTGGGCAAATCCAAGCCCGATGATGAAATCCATCAGTGGCATCACACCACGGACATTTGTCAGTAACCCCTTGTTGGAACTTAGCCCTGGCATTTTGCGTAAAGAGAGTACCATCCAAATGGCAACGCAGGAACACCTGGTCCGCAGGACTAAACTGCTTCAGCACCCGATGCAATTCTCCTAAGTCCACATGGTCGAGCCCAGCAAAGGTAGGCCGATGTGTCAGCTGTTCAGACAGCACAAAACCCCAAGCCAACCGAAACCTCAGCACCAATTCATCCCAGGGAACCTGCATCAAGCTAAAGGAACCAAAACGGTCTTGGAGGAGACCATGACTTCCAACTCCCCATCCCAATCTTCGGAGACGTGAGACCAAGACAGCCGTAGGACCATTCGACGGCAAACGGGTATCATCAGAAGCAAACAACCCCAAAAGAGACTCAACCTGATCAGGGTGACCAAGCTCACGTGTGTCCCGCAGTGTCTGTAAAATGGCCCAAGCCTCAGGGTCTGATTGGACAGCCGAAGAGGCCAAGTGCAAGTAGGGATTAGTGCCTTTTCGATCGGCCCGCAAGGCACGCACTGCTCCCGCCCTGAGGGCCTTAAAGTGGGACTCCCCAACATGAACAACCGTGACAGCATGCAAAGCACGTGGCCAGGCCAAAAGGTGCACCGCACTCAGTTTGTGACGGTAGGGGCCATGACTGGCTCGCAACCGAACCCAGATCGCAGGCATGCGTGCTAGACGCTTCTGAAGCTCACCGTTGTGGCAGTGTCGGCTGAAGTTCTGGTGTGCCCCAAGGTTACGGGCTGCAAGGGCTACTTTGACCTCTGTCTGGCGGAAGTCTTTTCTGGCCCCCGCATTGGTAGACCACACCCTCGTTTTTCCCATATCCACGGCTAAGTCCAATTGCCCCGTGAAAGCTTCCATGGATGCCCAGATGCGGGAGAAGGCATCAGAGTCCCGGAAGAGCAGACCCCAATCATCGACAAAGGTACGCAAGTCCACAGGAACATCCAGGTGCTTCAACCACCAATCCAACATCCAGTCGACCACCGTCATGCCAAAGACCGACAAGGCACAACCCTCCGGAAGACCACAAGTGGAAAACAACGGCTCTCCAACAGAACGCCGGACACGGAAACGACGACACTGAGCAGCAACAAAGGCAACCCACGGACGGAGAGTAGCAACAGGAAAGTCCATCAAGGCCAAAGCTTGCCACAGCGGCTTGCGTGGGATGTTGTTGAAACATTTCTGAATGTCCATCAGCAAACCATGAACCGGAGTGTCATTCAGGTAGGCCATTTCCAAAACTGAGGCAAGTTCGAACCAAATCGATTTGGCCTGTCGGGAGGGCACCCCACCTTGAACGCTATCTGGCAGGATCTGAGCAACAGACTGAAGAGCCTCCCGAGCCCGCTCAGTGGACCAAACTCTGTACCCCAAGCTATAGACAACCACCGGACGAAATTCATCCACCTGGTGAGCAGTAGGGGTCTTGGCTAGGCTCGACACAAAACCCGTAGCCAACTGAGTAGGCCAAGGCTGACCAGCTTCAACAGCTTGATACAAATCCACCAAGGTCTGAGCTGCTACAGGCGGTAAAGCCAATAGGTCGGCCCTGGAAACCCCATCTGGACCCTTTGCTGCCTTTGCTTTCTTATGGGCCACTGCAGTCCGAAATCGGTCCACGGTCCAAGGGGACCACCGCCAAGACACAGGACGAGCAGTACGCGACAGAAACCCACAGATTTGATCCCATTGGCCCTCCTGAACATGAGACAACTTCAGCCAACGCGGCCCCCACACCTGAGCAAAGCGATCCAGGATAGCTTGGTCAGTATGGACAGCACGCTCCTGGGTGAGCCACATGCCCGGTTGCAAACCCTCAACTGTTTCCACCCAGACCTGGTCATCTGAGTGAGCAACGACCTCAACCACCCGACCACCAACCACAACTGGCAAACCCTCAAGTAAGGAGACCGGCTGAACCAACACCACCGAGGAGTCTTCAGGGCGAACTTCGTCAACCCCAATAGCCACCTGATCAATCAAAGTATCAGCTTGAGGAAGAGGATCTTCCTTGCAGTCTCGGAACACATAAGCCAGGTGATGTTCCCGTCTGGACTTGGCCCATTGGTACCTGTCGCGCATCAGCTGCTGCTCATACTGCCGCACAAAACCCTGAAACCCGTCAAAGAGGCCCTTGGCAAAATCCAATGGAGGGCAAAGCAGGGGAAGAGGCCCGGCCAAGAGTGGCCGAAGTCCAGAAGCCCCCCACCAAAGTCCAAAACCCCCAGGAAATCCTGACGCATTCCTGATAGCCCGCCATGTTTCATCCCGGTTCAGCTGACCCTGCCACGTTGTGACCCCCTTGGCAAGCTGACGGCACAACGACTGCAATCGGCGAAGCTGCCGGAAGTAACGAGCATGTTGCAAGCTAGTCCCCACGAAGGTGGGTTGGATGTCACCCCGTCGCCCCTTTTTCAAAGGGCTGGCATACTCCTTTGTTGGCGTAGGCGCCAAAACACTAGCTCGCCCCAACTGCTTTTTGGAAGTGTGGACCCCTTCATGCTGGAGCCAACATCTGGCCTGTGTTTCAACCTGATTCCAAAATTGTGCATAGGCAACAGTCAAGTCTGCCCGCAAGTCCACCTGAGGCGTACAAGTCCACTCCGAAGGCCAAGGGAAGGGTTGAGGGATATGCCAAGCCAAGTGTTCTTGCTGAAGACCACCAAGGGAAAAGGAAACACACACCGAAGCATGGTCAGCCCAATGATCAAACACCACCCGAGTATCAACGTAGGCATGCTGAAGTTCTGGAGAAATCCATAGCTGATCGATGCGTTTGGATCCCCTTCCCGTAGCTTCAGTGGATATCCCAGCACGCCAGGCACGCAAGTCCTGAACCTCACGAAAGCCCAACTCACGCAAGCGGTCCAGCTGGTCCAGCTCATCCGGCCCATAGTTGAAGTCCCCACCAATGGCCCGTGGTCCCGTGGCCTGAAGGCCCACCCGGTCCACAAGCTCAGCCAGCATGACATCAGTCTGAAAACGGGCATGTTTATGGTGGGCATTGCAAGGCACGCCATACAACATTCCAACAGTGATCCACTGATCGGCAACCGCCACACCAACCACCTGAAGTCGGGCAGTATCAAAAACCTGCTGGTCAAACCCATGAGCCAGAGCCCGCGAAGGTTGTTTCGACACAAACAGAACACCTGCATGTGAGCCCGTGTCAGTGGTAGCCCTCTTGGGACATGGGGCTCCAGGAACAGTGTACTTCCATTGGCTACGCAACATACGCAGACCCTTCTTGAAGTCAGAAACCCCTTTGCCAGACAGTTGTGTCTCAGCCAAAATCCAGGCATCACCTTCCAAATGATTGACCTGATCCAACTTGCCATTGAGACCACTAGGGTTGGCCACCCCCAAAGTCCACAGCTCAGTGCCTGGTGAAGCCGGACCAGGGTGACTCGCTTCACCGACCCGAAGCAGCCAGAAAAGACAGATTATCCACCACCACCTCCCTGTACGGTGAGAACGAAACCAAGGCACTACGACCTCCACAGAAGAGATGGGGAAAGCCCAAGTCCACTCACAGAAACCATGCTGCCGCATCTGAGCATCCAACATTTGGCACCCAGTGAATGGACTGAAATCCAAAATTCCACGCTGTGTCCACCAAACCGCGCAGTAATCCACCAAAAGTCGGACAAGACGGACAACTGACATGACCCAACCACGCCAAACCATCCGCAAAAGTCCCAAAACCGAAAAAGGAACGACCCAAGGATGGCCGGGAATCCATCTGGCCAAATACCCATGGCAAAGTCCAATGCCAACGATCATCCAAAGCCAGCTCAGCAACCACCAACGCTCGTGACTACCTATGGGGTACTCCCAATTGCATGTGGCAGTCAAACACGCAACTGGGCCCCTTCACTCCTGTCGTGGCCGTTTGTTCAGGAGATTCTCAAACTGCTCCATCTGTTTGCTAAACATGCTGTCTAACATGAGCTGTTGGTGGCTCACCTGTTGTCGAAATTGTTCAGAAAAGGAATCCTGAAAACATTGCATGGTGCTGGCTTGTGCTGCAATCGCTTGGTCAAAGTGAGCACCCTGCTGCTGTATTTCACCTCGCAAGGCAGTGAATTGCCCCTGAGTGTCCTGCGCATGTTGTTGTGCCTGAGCAGCCAGGGCTTGAGCTTGGCCATGAAGGTCTGAGACCTGTTGTTCCAAAGCTTCAACTCGCTTGTTGGCCGATTCATCACCGTCAACTTCCATGCTAGTCTGAGGCAGCTTGGACATCACCTCTGCCAAAACCTTTTGAGCCACATCTTCAAGGGGATTACCAATAGGAAAGGTGGTGGCTTTCGCTGGGAGCTTGCTAGCAGCTTTGGCCCAAGGGTCATTCATCTGGATGTAGTCACCTTCACATGGCTTGGAAACAAAAGACTCCGTAGCTGACGTTGCCACCAGCTTGGGGACGCTGCGGTCAGGCTGCTCAGGATCAGCTTCCCTGGAGATAACCACATCACCATGTGACATCCTCAGAACCTTCTGGGGTGGGTCCTGCACAGACTGGACTCGGAACATCAACCCTTGGACATGTGACTTGGTCGCCACAGCTTGCACTGGTTTAGCCACCCATCCATTATCCCGAAGAACCTGGGCAACTGAAGACTGCAATGTGCCAAAGGCAAAAGGTCCAACCAGAAAAGTCTGACGACGGCCCGGAGGAAGAAACAAGTGCCCTGGCTTGACAACCGCAAAGACCTCAGCAGCATGCGAAGTACAGCACCTCAGACCCATTTTATTGCCTAACCGTGCCAGCCCAACCACATGAGGAACCGTCTGACGTTGGACAGTAAGCTGGGACATATCAGCCTTGGGCAACCACACCACCTGGAAGTCCTGAGACGGACGACGACCATCCAACGATTTCGGCTCTAAGTACACACCGGCATGTCCTGAAAAGTGCTGTGCCACAAGTTGCAAATGTTCAGGCATTCGGATGTGAGCTGTAAAGAGCTCGGCTTCAGAAGGGGAAGCGTGGCTAAAGTCCAAACGAAGCCACTGTTTGCCCCACAATTCCATCACCGGTGAGTCCATGGGAAAGGCCGAGGTACGAAGCCAACCCTCACAACCGCAACATTCTTCATCACCACACTGTTGCAACGGAGGCACCTGGGCAAAAATGTGCAGCATAGGATGGGCCACCACCTCACTCCACGGCACTTCGGTCTGATCACGGAACACCAGGGCTTTAACCACACATGTGGCAATGGACTGCACCTGAATGTTGGGTTGCAGAGGAGCCCTTGTGACAGGCGACGCACCAAGTTGCACCAAGAACCCATCAACAAGCAATGGCTCAGAATTGACAGCACAAACCAAGGGCACACGTTCTTGGGTAACCGGAAGGGATGTCTGAGGGGCAGTCAAAGCATCCACCACAAACAGTGCCAAAGGGCCAGACGAGAGCGGGTGCTGAGCCTTGAGGTATGGCTCAATGACAGTCACCGACACAACCACGACTCCAGAAGCCGAACCTCGCACTTGGGTAAGTCCAATCTGTGCAAGTGGCTGACCACTTTCACTATGGAAGATGCCTGGTTCCAACCTGAGCTGAGCGGGGTCAACACTCACAGGGGAAGCACTACCCTTTCCTTTACCCTTGGGCTTGGTATGCTTGTGCTTCTTGTGTCCAATAGGCTTGTCAACCGTTCGACGATCAATTTGGACCTGAAGTTCAGAGGGCTTGATAAACATGAATGGGGGCCTACATTGATTGCCTAACCACTTAAGCTCACGCCATGGGTTGCTGGCATCAAGTGCTTTTGCGACCTCAGTTTCCCCCAATGCTTTCAAGGCCATGGCAGAACGTCCTGATGCTTCGACATGTGGCACGCCATGCTGCACCAAAAGATCAGCTAAGCGAGTCTGCACAGACACCCCTAATCCAGCAAGAAAAGGCCGAGGACACAGATCAGGGACATCATCAGCAAACTCCTTTCGAAGTCCAGTGGAGTAGTAAACCAAGGAATCATGATCAGTGACCATCAACCAACCCCACAGCAAGTGACGAACGAAAGCCACAACCAGTGCCCCACAGTAGCCAGCCGGTGTGAACCCGATGTCATGCGACTTCCAGACCCCCATGGCCCCTCCCCGGTGAAATTCAATCACCCGGCTCAGAAACTGCATGGTCTGTTCATACTCCGAAGGGACAGCCAACGTGTGCAACTTGGCTCCCACTCCATCAACTCTCCACACCAAAGGAATCCAATGCCCACCCAACAGGACTGCCGACACCACCGTGGCTTCAAAACCAAGTTGCCGCACCATGCTGGCCCACGTGGCTGAGACCTCATGCTTCACCAAGCCTGTGACCAACAACGGGTCCCACACATGGACATGTTGATCCACATCAGTGCCTATGGCTGTTTGCACAAGTCCATGCAACACTTCATCATCACCCCACACCGGGCCCTGCATCCCTAGGAGGCTGACACGTTCGCACCTAGACATGGAGGGAGTACGCAAGGACGACAACATCTCATGATCAGTGACAGGCCCTGGATCTTCAGCATTTGAGGCTCGGGCGTACTTCAAAAACTCATCTGCATCCAGGCAACACGGAATGACTGGACTGGCATTCAAAGACTCAGGGGTCCATGTGGGAGGCACAATAGAAACCAATGCAGCAGACGGCAGAACAGAGTTCAAGTCCACAGGTTCACCATCGACACGGACTTGAAAGCCCGTAACATCGTTGCCCAGTTTGGTCTCAGCCGCAAGCAAGTGTGCTCCCGTGGAGTCAGGTGAGACCTTCATCTGAAGATCAGGCTCACCAGGAACCGAACGGGACAAGGTCAAACAGTCCACCATGGGCATGTCACAATCCTCAATGGGATCTTCAACCGTGGCAGGCACCCCAGGAGGTGGAGGCAAAGGCCACTTCTCCCGACAAGCAGCAACAACCTCATCCATGTATGCTTCAAGGACCCGCACAGACTGACAAGGTGGCACCTCAAAAGTCAAGTCCAAGCAGCGACGGATGTGGGCAAAAATCCAGAGCCCCATCAACGGAGAAACAGCTTGACCAACACCAGACATCGCAAGTCTCAAGTTGCGCCCCATGTCAACTTTAGGGACGCCCCCCATGAGTGCCCACATTTCAACCGGGTGTAGGTACCTGGCATGTTGCATGGTCTGGTTCATGTGTTTCTGGTAGGTGGCAAGCGGGATCAAAGTACCTACAAGCCCCTTCTGTTTCAACCGTTTCTCTGACAAGGCAGCCCGGCAACCACAAGCACATGTATACATCTGGTTTCCTGCACTGTGAAGCAAGGTGGGAAGTTGTTCAGCCAACTTGATCCAAACCGCCTCCATACCTCCTGCCGCATACTGGTAGTATTTGGACAACTCATACAAGTTCAATTCCAATTGGGCTTGGTCAAACTGATGCCATGTGCAAAAGGCTGGAATGAGATCTCGGATGACCCTGATGCTGGTGCCGGATGGCATGTCAGGCAGCTCACAACACTGAAGCACTGGGGCGGTCAAAACTGCAATCCAACGATCTCGACGAGTACACCAAGTGTTGCCCAACTTGAGAATGCCCTGGGTAACCCTGTAACCCGTGGTAATGGAAAATTGTCTCAACACTTCTTGTGCCTGGGCATCTCGCAAAACTTCAGGCGTACATTCCAAAACCAAAACAGCAGCTTGAAGCAACCAACCCAAATGAAGTGACTTGGGAAGTGATTCGGACCTGGGATCTGACATGCCCCTCCTGTCGCCCAAGACGGAGTGTGGCTGACATGAAACTCCTGAGCATACAATTCCATGAAACAACTCACGCCCACAAAGATCTCGGATGACCCCAGGGTCCAAAAGGTCACCAACATGAAAGGAAGCACCAGCATGCAAAGACTGGTAAAGTCCACGCCATGCCCCATTCTGATCCACCCCAGCCATGGCCTTAAATCCAAGCCGGTCCACCGCAGCAGTGAAACCCCCCATCCCTGCACACAAGTCCACCACCTGAGTCAAGGCTTCCTTGGAGCAAACAGGTACTGGGAAAACTGCAGAGTCACCATCCACCACCAGTTGAATCGGGGTTACAGATGTCACCAGTAAGTCCACCCCAACCATGGTCGCCACACACGGTACCTGTCCATACACCCAAACTTTGTATCCCCTCCGGTCCGATGTCTGTGTCAAATGCCAGTTTCCTTCAGAAAAGCAAATGAGGACCAAAACTAGTGAAACTCGTTGACCAACCGCCATTTGAGTCCAATCCATTGCAATGAACCACTACAAAAGGGTGACCTCCAGGTGTTCTGTCAGTACAGCCCTACTACTGGAAAGGACCTGGGCCAGAGCTCTGAAAAATATTAGTCAGTTGGGATGATTATCCCCAATATATGGAAAAATAAGAACATATATTTCCTATACATGTCCAACCTTTTCCAAAATATTGGCTAGTCTAACCCCATACCAATCAACCATCATTTATCATATCCACTTGTACCTTTATATTGAACGATGGTTGTCGCCACCAGGTCATTTAGCCTTGAAAAATGCGCTCCTGTTATTGGAGAGAAGCCATTCCTTCCAGGTGCTCGACTCTCCTCACAGATTGGCTGGACAATTCTAAGTGGATTTTAATCAGCAGAAAATTGGGATTTCACCAGGATTTAACCTCCATTTCTAACTGCTAAGTGGATTTAATCAGATTTACCATCTGGTTATGACTAACATAACCATGGAAAGATCCACCCATGCAATTAATAGGTAAACCATCTATTTCTGTGGGCCAGCAATCCGATGGCTATGTTAGTCATAACCAGATGGTAACCTGCAAGAAATTGGGATTTTAATCAGCAGAAATTGGGATTTCACCAGCAAGAATTGGGTTTGAGCACGCGCCTATTTGGATGTTTGGAGAAGTTCAGCGATATTGATTTAATGGGATTTTAATGGGATTTTATGGTGATCAATAGGGGTTAATGGAACTTACCCTCTGGTAAACATACACGTTTAACTAACTATGGAAAATCACCCAATTTTTGATGGTTAAATCCATGATTTCGACTGGGCAATTTTCCAGTTCGCAAACTGTAAGCGTTTACCACGGATTCTGCGGCTCGGATTCTGCAGGTCGGTGGTCATCTGGACGCCATTTTCAGGGGCGACCTCTCCATGAAATGGGCAAAGGTTAGTACCATATTTTCTGGGGATATTCCCTGAAATTTAGGCCTAATATATATATATATATATATATATATATATATATATAGGCCCAAAATAGATGGTAGGTTAGGTACCTCCACTTTTTTAAAGGATCCTGAAGATCTCCCATTGATTGAGGTTGAGCTCACTCTTTAGGTCACAAATCCAAAGCTGTTTTTGTAATCCCACAAAATGTCCATCTCCGAATCGCTGACTTTTTTGGCTGGGCTGGGCATGATCTATTCAGTATACATGGTCCATATATATATATATATATATGTATATATATATATGTGTATATATATACATATATATAATATGGGACATTATATAATTTCATTTTGGGATGGTTCCCCACCAATCATTGGGGCTTGGTCAGCTGGTGATTTTAGGCTCTGCAGACAGGAATTCATACGCTACCCGGCCGCTGAAGAAATTGACTACCTCAATTATATTTTTGTTACTATTATTATTCATAGATAGTATTGGATTCAACCATCAACCGCGGATACAGATTGATATACATATATATATATGTATTATAAACATATCAATGGATTTAAAAACTATCGAGATTTTTGTATCTTTTTTCGGCAAGCTCCATTCAATCACCATGCCAAATCGTGATAATCGTGATCTGTTCCTTGGATTTGCTTATACAGAGGGATGGCGAAGTTTCTGGAAATGAGGCCCCAAAAGTGGCCAAAGTCAACACCAGTGATATGCAGCAATCTCTCAACCAGGCCAGCTGCTGCTGCCATGCATTCGTTCTGCTTTTGGTTGAGCATTCAAACGCGTGAAATGGATACCATTATTGCTCCACGTGCTTGGCAGTACTTCCAAACAAGCATTTGGATTTCTGCCCTGAGAGTGAACCGTTCTTTTTCTGAGAGGAGAGTCATTTAGAACAAGTTTCAATTAGCGACAGAATGATCAGACCAGGGACATGACTGCACCACAACAAGAAAATGAACATTGTTTTTGTGTAATTTTCAGGACGCCTGGTCAAGAGATTCTTGAGCATTGTATCACTGTCAGCTGCACAGTATACACAGTTACTAAGGGAAAATTGAGAAACACCGCAGGGTTTTACTATGGGTTTTGTTAGTAAACACCATAGCAAACACAATATGTTATTTCAATATGTTACTATTAGTGGCGAACATTTGAGAAACACCACAGGTTTTTTTCCCCCAGTCGAGCTCGTGTTCAGTTGCCGCACATTTTTGTGGCTGAATTAATTCTGGTTTATGGTAGATATAACGAACTAGTTCATGGGGGTTACCCTCTGGTAAACATACACATAATGGAAAATCACCATTTTCATATTTTTAATGGCTAAATCCAGTATTTCTATGGCCATGTTCAATAGCTTCTTGTTTGTTTACCAGTATTTCATGGTTTATAAACCAACAAACACAACTGGAGGCCTATCCTGCAGAGGATTTCCAGTCAACGATTCCCGTGGGAAAGCGCTACAGTCATCGTCGGCGGCTTCTCCATGTCAGGATGTAGGGAATCTTCAGGACCCATCTGGTTGGTGGTTTTTCGCCACCCCTCTGATCAATATGAAAGTCAGTTGGGATGATTATCCCCAATATATGGAAAAATAAAAAACATATATTTCCTTTACATAAATAACCAACATTTTCCAAAATACTGGCTAGTCTAACCCTACATCCAGTTGGGATCATGACATTCCCAATATACGGAAAAAGAAAATTCATGTTCCAAACCACCAACCAGCCATATTCCCAATATACGGAAAAATAAAATTCATGTTCCAAACCACCAACCAGTCATATTCCCAATATACGGAAAAATAAAATTCATGTTCCAAACCACCAACCAGCCATATTCCCAATATACGGAAAAATAAAATAGAAAATGTTCCAAACCACCAACCAGTCATGCAACGATGTAAGTTTCATATCTGTTCTTCCACATTTTCAGCTGGTAACTGGTCAATGCCCTTGCGTCATAGATCCAGTAGCTGGCACTATTCCATGTCTAGCTTCCCTTGGACGACAGTGAAACAACAACCACCTGATTTCACGATGTAGGGCGACTAGGAACCAGAAAAGCTCCAGTTGGATGGGTGAACCCAAATCAAATTTCGATGGGTGTGTCTGAAAATGGGGCATGGCCCCATTTTCATGCTATGTTGATCGGGATAATGATAAGGATCATTCTGGACTTAGGGATATTCTCTTTTCGGACAAACTCATCTGCTGAAACCATACTAATGGCTACCCTCCGGTAATTTAACATAGCTATTGAAAATGGCCATTTATAGTGAGTTTTCCCGTTAAGGAAATGTGATTTTCCATAGTTATGTTAGTTTACCAGAGGGTATGCGCTTTCAACTTACAACTTTATATCCATCCGAAGATGGGAAATCTCCATTTGATCAGCGCGGTTGCACCCAAAATAGCGCCGAGTTCCTGCTAAAGAAATTGGGTTAACTCCTGGTGATGGCCAATACTCATTAATTCTCTTATATTCTCTTCATATATCTTCATTGTAATCCCTTGTGGTACCCTAGTATCCTATAACAATTTAACTAGAATAACATTCATATTCCTTACTGTAAATATATATATATATATATATATGTGATGGTTTCCTAAAATGGGGTACCCCAAAATGGATGCTTTATAATGGAAATTCCCATGAAAATGGATGACTTTTGGGGTACTCTATTTTAGGATTCCCCCATATACCCTAACTATGGAAAATCGCCATTTTTAATGGGCAAATCCACTATAAATGGCCATGTTCAATAGCTTTATGTATGTTTACCAGAGGGTAAGTTCCATTAATCCCTATTGATCACCATAAAATCCCATGGAAAATCATCGTAAATTCCCCCTTTTTTTCCTTAAAAAACACATGTTTTCCAATGCGCTGGCCCCACCAGCAATCCTTCCGCTTCCGCTGCCGCCGCATGGCGTTGATCAAAGCGTTCGGGTGCCATGACGTTGCCACGGGGCAGGGTCCGCAGCACCTTCTTGGCGATGTCACCGAGGACTTCGAACCTGGCAATTTCGATGAACCCTCCGGTCATTTGTTACAGTTTGCTATTGAAAATGGCAAGTTATAGGGTTTCCCTATAACAAATGGTGATTTTCCATAGTTATGTTAGTTTACCAGAGGGTATATTTTGGGTGATGAACCAATGGTAATATGGTAATAATATGGTGATTTCATGGTGATTAAATGGTGATCTAGTAGATTTAGTAATCTGGTTGATGTACTATATTTTGGGGAACCAATGGTAATATGGTAAATTATGGGATAATATGGTAATATGATGATAATATGGCAATTATTTCTTAAAAAGGACGTGCGTTGGATGATTTTTTTGCAGCGAAAATGAAGATGTGAACCGTGGAGATGACGGTTGTTTCACAGCAACAAAATTGGGTTGAAACAGCAAAATGAGGTTAAATTAATAAAATAATTGATAGCAAAACGCGCGACATAAATGGCAGAGATGAGGAATGAACCATGATACGATGTTTTTGCAACAAACATGGAACCATAGCTTTGGCATTTTTCGTCCATAAGAGGATGGCTCAACGGGAAATGTGTAGTTTCAAAATGTTTCAATGGTCAAAGTGTATTACTGGTTGGTGGTTTCAACCCCTCTGAAAAATATGAAAGTCAGTTGGGATGATTATTCCCAACATATGGAAAAATAAAACATGTTCCAAACCGAAACCACCAACCAGGTATTATAACTGGACATCGCTTGCGTCAAAATGAAACATTTCTTGCCATTGAGTACCCCAAACATTGACCCACTTGCATCTGTGGGGTCTATCCCTTTTGAACTGTCAAGGAGTGCGTGCGACTGGGTATGAAGTGTCTTGGACACACATCAAGTTTGAAGTCGGCACACATTTTTTTCAGAATTTGGGCATAAATCCTGATGCATCACCAAGCAAACTTAGTTTTGATGGTTTCATTTTCATGATTTTTCATGGTTGGAAGCGACTGCACACGATTTTTCTAGATCCAGGAAATCAACCGACTGGAACGTTCCCTTTGGAAAAATTGTGACGAGTATTCAATATTTGGCCAAGATATGAGGGTTTCCATAGGGGATCCCCATAGCTGGATGGTTTATTTCATGGACAATCCGAAAATAATTTCTGGATGAGAACTGGGGGTACCCCCATGACTCAGGAAACCTCCATATCATCAGTATGGGAAAGTAATAGCCAGTGCCCATTTCCTCTGGGTTGAGCTCTCATCACTAGGGGCAGGACTGGGAGGGAAAACTGGGTAATCATGCTTGGTGATTCAGCCCCACTTAGTAGGTAGGTGAATTCACCCCAGTTGCAAGTGTATTATTAACCCGGAACCTACTTATCCCACTTATAACTGGGGTTATAATCCACTTACCAACTGGGATGAACCACCATTGGTGGGTTTTAAAACCTCCATAAGTTGCGATCTGGCTATGCCAGTAACCGTTGGGTCCACCTATCCCAAACCCCAAAACCAATCCATTGAAGTCAAAAACACAAGAAGCATACTTGGTGGTTCAGCCCAGTGAATTCTAACCCTAGATGTGCACTAACTTTCTCTACTTCTGACTGGGGCTATGACCCACTTGCGAAACATCTTTTCATCAGCCATCTCTTCCATTTTTGACCAGCCGCGTCCATAATTACTTTTTGGGTTTGGACTAAACATTTATTAGTCCACCAAACGGTAAAGGATCAGTATATGAACACCCACTTTGATTGTTGTTGGTTGGTTTCCACTTTGTAGTGAGAATGCAAACCTCTAGGATCTTTCACCAGCGCAATTCATCAGTCTTTGCTTCAAAGGAGCAAAGAGACCGGCATTTTCTCGGCGGCTTTCATGGCAAAGTCCGGGTTCAACAAACACCGCTCCGCGCATTTCCTGTCCGCCGGCTTTAACAACAACAGCTGGACGAAAACTCTTCAGCAGGATTTTGTGGTGGGTAAAGCCAACAGTCTAAACAATGACTAATTCTTTCCGTGTAGGTTTGTGTAAACCTTGAAGTTTGTTCTTTTTCCCAGCACATGAGGTTTACCATTAAGATCCAATTAAGGGGTTTTGTACACCTTGAGAAAAAATGTTCGCTTATGGGCTCTACTCCTCCACATTGCCAAACAATACCGTCCAAGAAAAACCTATGTCTACATAACTATACACACAATACACACATTATATATGGGTATGGGTCAAAATTAGGTACCCCAATAATTGGATGGTTAATACTAAACTAGACTAACATCTGTGGTCCCCTAGGTCTTCCATTTTGACCCACATCCATATATACACATCTGCTGGCCCCTTTTTTACAAGCACTCTAGTAGGCCAACCCAGCATAGCTCTACAACGGGGGTCATTTGGGGAAGTGGGGCTATGCCGCGCGGCTCAAATCTTGTGGTGCCATATTGCCCTATTGGCTGAATCATTAATATATAATTGAACATATGTATATATGCATATATCATTTTACCATAGTGGTTGATTCAGTATCTGATATATTATATTCCCATGTTGAAAATATCATATGCATTCATATACCTGGGATTGAATCAATATGGGATTGAATCCCAATCGAACCTATTTAAATAACTAATTATTCATATTGAACCATATACTTCGGCGCAATGCCATCCGTATGCCAATCTTCGTGAATCTTGAACCAGCACCTAGTTGTGGCTGGCATTGCTACAGTTTCAAAACTAGATGGGGTCGGCGGCATGGCAAAAGAATTAAAGATCGCTGGGAAATTCCCTTCTTGATGCCAGCTCAACCAGGGTCTGTTTGGTGTCAGTTTTCATAAAAGAATCATCAATCATTGCCTTGTCCATGGCCCAAAAGGGAGCAAATTGGTGGTTGTGGCCCTGCCATTCCTATGACATCATAAAGGATGACTCGTGTAAAACCCTTTGGCAGCAAGGCTCACACCCATGGTGAGCAATGTATGGCCATCACGTCATCAGTAGAAAAAATGCCAAAAAGGACTGGGACACTCACTGGTTACCATCCCTTAGAAATGGCTCCAACATTAATTCCCCCACCGTTCTACCCAAAATAGGAACCGTCGACGCTTGCACTTACCAAGCATTCTGATGTTGAATTTTGGTTTTTACAGTTGAATTAAGTTACCCTCTGGTAAACATACAAAAAACTACGGAAAATCACAATTCTTAATGGGCAAATCAACTATAAATGGCAATTTTCAATAGCTATAGTATGTTAAATTGCCAGAGGGTAATCCACAATTTGTATTTCCGACACCCCTTTCTTGTGATGACTCAAAACCACTTTTTGAAATTAAGCATAGCAAAGCATCGCATATGAATGAGTATAGCCATCGTAGAGTAGATAGAATATGGACATTTCAAAAGATCACCACTAAAATTTGGAATATCATTAAACATTCCATATTCTATCTACTTCAGGATGATTACACACACACATATATATATATATTAACAGAAATTAGATGGCAGTCATTCTTCCAATTTTGATGTTCAAAGACACCCACATCAAAGCCCAACAAATGTACTATATCCCCAGTCAAAAATCCTCATTGATCCATGATAAATATATCCGTGATATCCATTGCTCATCGATTGGGTCGAATCCCCTGAATCGTGTACCCCGTGTACCCCAAAAATCCATTGGATTCAAAATAATAGCCATTGGGTATGGGTTAAAATCCAGTAATAAATCCATTGGGTTAAAATCAATGTATTAAATTCCCTATTCAAATAGCCAGACTTTGGAGGTTTTTTCCACATTTTCAGACACATTTTGGCACATAGTTATGGGATGTTATGGGTCAAAACCTGGTACTTTAGGTACCCTAAGTACATAGCTGGTGGATGTTGATTCCTCCAGTCATATGGTAATAGGTTTGGACCTATCCCCAATTGTTCCGGATGTATAACGTCCCATGATATTCACCTGATTGCCAATCATATATTATATATCCAATACTGTTTGGAATATCTAAAGGTCGAGTTTTCATTAATACCAAAGTTAAGAAGAAGCTAGTTGACAAAAGTATGGAACAAGCAGCGCGACAGATCACAGCAAATGCGAATGGCAACGTCAGTCTGAGCGCGTCACCATGTGCCAAAGTTCTCTCTATTGAAGCGTCAGTCTGGCACGCCATAGGGAACACACGTCCCTTGGTGAGAAGCTGCGCTTGATACTGTTCCCATATCTCCGACAGGCCCCGCATAGAGTCGCACAGGTCCGGCCGTTCTGCCTGGCAGAAGCCGCTAATCACATAATCCCTTGAAACAACGAGAAAAGGATGGCGACACAAGAAGCGAACCATTCCCTGAAGCTGACGGCAGAACGCGACCCTCTCTGCCTGGCACCGCCAATTAGATTCCCATTATTGCTGGTTGGTGGTTAAGCCATCTGAAAAATATGAGTTCCCCAGTTGGGATGATGACATTCCCAATAGATGGAAAAATTACTTTACTTCGTGTGATCCCCACCATGACATTTATACATGTTCTTACTGGCACATCTTCTGGCATTCTATCTGACATATCTTGTGACATTTGGCATTCTATCTGGCATATCTTCTGGCATTCTATCTGGCAAATCTTCTGGCATTCTATCTGGCATATCTTCTGGCATTCTATCTGACATATCTTCTGGCATTCTATCTGGCATTCTATCTGGCATATCTTCTGGCATATATTCTGACATATCTTCTGGCATTCTATCTGGCATTCTATCTGGCATTCTATCTGGCATTCTATCTGGCATATCTTCTGGAATATCTTCTGGCATTTCTATCTGGCATATCTTCTGGCATATTTTCTGGCATTCTACCTGGCAAATCTTCTGGCACTCTATATGACATTTTATCTTCCTACACGAGGTCCGGCAGGGAACACTTGGCGTGGATACTCGCGGTTGAGGTCCGGCAGGGAACACTGGGCGTGGATGGTCGTGGTT